ACACACACACACACACACACACACACTCATATGTGGGCATCTTTTGGTAGCAGCATTCATTCATTCATTAAATGCGAAGGTGGGCAATGCCCCTGCTGTCGCTATGGCGACAGCTCCTCTGGCGCAACAGATAGAATTTAATAATAATATTCAATTTAATATTTAAAGATGTTTCTTCTATTTGCCTGTCTGTCTGACTGACTACTTATCTGTCTGCTGGAGAGAGGAGAGAGAGGAGAGGACAGGAGAGGAGAAAAAGGAAAACAGGGAAGAGGTGATCGAGAAGGAGAAATGTAATATCTTGCTAATGACTGAAGGGCAGAAGGAGAGAGACATAGCAGAAGGCCGGGTGCAGCCGCTCACAAAGTCTACATTTACATATTTACATTCAGCCAATGAGAGCATATCGCTGCAGATTAAACAAAGAAAACAAATATATCAGGAGCGAAAATAATGAAAAAAAGGAAAAATATAAATCAAACGAAACAAATATTTAGTGACATAGAAATAGCTAAAAGCTGTTGGGATGAAAGATAGAAAGAGAGTGAGAGAGGGAGGGAGAGAGGGTGATGTGGAGAAAGATATAAAAGCAGTGGCAATGGGAATATAATGAGAAAATGGGTGAGACAGATAGAGAAAATGAACGAGAGGCGGAGATGATAGTGCGCGAGAGAGGAGCTAAAACAGAGACAAACACAAAGCAAGAGAGACGGAGAGCACGTCTCTGGGGGGAAGAGGTTGATTTGGGCCTGTCGGTGATTGGGTTTGGACCGCTCCCGCAGAGCTGAGGTGACTCACCAGTCTCCCACACACACACGCACATCATGCTGCATGTGGAGTGAGTGTGTGTATGTGTGTGGTAGAGAGAGAGAGAGAGAGAGTAATAGAGTTAGTTCTTTACTGTCAGTGTCCTGCAGGGGTAAGGGTGTGTGTGTGTGTGTGTGTGTGTGTGTGTGTGTGTGTGTGAAGCCGTCATGTTGCGCGCAGCCTATTGGGAGCTGCCACTCTTAATAACAGATAATAACACACTGTCCATCTCTGTCTCCAGATGCCCACTGTCCCTGCTGATTCACTGCCTGTTGTACAATGCTGTTATAAAACACACACACACACACACACACACACACACACACACACACACACACACACACACACGAGTTTTGAAATTAAATAATCTCATTCCTAGGTTGTTAAAATCTTCCATTATCCAGAGCATCTCATTTGTCTCAGTGACAGGATATTGCATAATACACACATGACCAGAACCATAGCTGACAATAGCAAAAAAAACAAAAAAAACAATTCAAATTTATCAATGTTGTTGATCTCCATGGATACATTTTAGATTTTCAGTAATTGCACTTCCATCCCAGAGAGGACTCTCTCCCAGATTTCAATGAATTAAATGAGCAGAAAAACAAGGTGAGCAAAATAAATGATTTCGCACAGCAGCACTGGCTGTCTGTGACTCAACATTATCCAGTGTGGAAGTAGACCCTCTACCCTCAAATATACACTACTTCTATCCATATTCCATCTGTGTTAGTGTATCATGGATAGAAGTGAGGAGGTGTAATGTATGTAACCATGTAGATATTAGTACACAGTTGACTTGGATCCTAGTAACACTGCCAACACATAAATGTCTCACCCATTTTTGGAAGTTATTAAACTAACAATCTGCCAAGGTGAACCGATGAACAGTGTATATGAATATTGTAAGTGTGTCATTTTAATTGTGTGTGTATGTTTGTTCCTGCAAGTGTCTGGTTTAATGGCGCATTAATGTTTCCTGGAACAAAGCCCTTCATCATTATCTACACTTACATTTTGGGAACATTAAAATCTAAATCGAGTGAGCATTTCACACGGGTGGGAAGGCGAGCTGGGAGACAGAATAATTTGATTAAAAAGATAATTGGGACATAATGTAATCGTGACCAGATAATTGTCCTCTTTTTTTAATATTTTGTTCAAAGCAATGGGAAAGCATTTTTTATCTTGTTAGAGAGGCTCCAGATAAGTGACGAGACATTATTTAAAGAGAGAAGGCTCAGAATAACAGGTTTTCAAGGCAAGTCTACAAAAATCACCTTCCTCAGCTCTCCTGATTGCGCGATAGGCTGGTGGATGTGTGTGATGTGAATAGTGAGTGAGAAGATGGTATTGTTGATAATGGCCTTCGGTTACTGCTAGTCTCGCAGCAGTCTGATGCCTAGGCCATCTATTACAACAACACAAAGACGAACACCACTTGAGAACTACTATTAAAGCTTGTGAATGTGTTTCTGTTTACACATGCATCCATTGCAGGATGTCACTGTGATTTTTTTGCTCATGATAGTCTATTATAGTATAATGTGCATGCCTCTGTGCATGACTGTGAATGTAATGCTTATAAGTAGTTATTTAAAAACTGTTTCTTACTTCTTGCTTACACATCACTGATTGTTTCCCTGGTCTGAAGCCGATTATTGTTACTATTGGTCTCAGTATAAGTATATTCTTTGTGCTATGGCTTGCTGCATATAGAGATATCTTTGTTTGTTTTGTTGTACTGGCAAGAATTGATCAATACATTATTTATGTGATTGTTTTATTGCTTTGGAAAACTGCCTTGGGTCTACTTTGGACAAGGGTGGTTCACCTTTGTGTGTGTGTTTTGAGTTTTTGAGTACTGAGTGTGTGTGCGCACCATTCAGGCCACAAAAGGCACACTTACATGAAATGAGGGTATTGAGTGGAAGTAAAGCAATATGAATGCATTACATTTTACATACGATGATAACTTATGCAATCAAGAAGTGTTTACTTAACTCGCTGGGCCAATTGTTGATGCTACACAAAACACTAACCGGCATGTTGTGTAAATATGTAGCAAGAGCCTCACCATGGTCCGCAGGCAGCCATGAAAAATATACACAGGCTAAAAAACACAAAATCTACTGTCTGCCTCTGGTGCATTAATGAGTCTGGCAAGCCCTGAATTCCCCAAGCCGTCTCTTAGCGATTGTACAGTATGTACGGAAAGTGTTGAGGACACCGAGTATGTATAAGAGCTGGTATCAGCAGCAGTCGAGTTGAGTATACGGGGGCATCAAATGTGAAATAGTCAAAGCTGTTGTAACTTTTGCAGAAAAGGGGCCCATCACTTAGTAAGACACTGATTGAGAAAATATGTTTTTTGCAAGACAGTGGTCAGCACTGAGCACCAAGCTCTGTGCATGTTCACATGGAGAAACCAGTGAATGTCTTTTCCATGTGAGAAAGTTCATAGCACAAATCACATATTCAGAGGTTAAACGCTATAAATACAAGGTAAGTACTGACCATTAATGATGCTATTCAGCTAAAGTTCAGAGATGCACAGGGAATAGGGACTGCAGGAGAGGAGTTTCTAATGAGCAACAATGGTGAACAAGGTTGTTCTATGCTAAACTTGCAAGAGACAGTAAAGGAGGTTTTCAGTAAGTAATTACAGAGTTTCAACAGTCTATTTGTACCTGTTGGGAGCACACCATGTGTTGGTAAATGTTTTCCTAGAGAGCAATGTATTTGTCAAGGAAATGTGTTTAGAATAAAGGCAGAGCATAGTCTTCGATGTTATGCGCCCGACTTAGAGAGAGAGAACACACACGGATCTGGTATTGAAGGTTAAAGAATGTGTTTTGGTTTCCTCCTGAAAGGTTAAAGCTGAAGTACCCAGAGGAGTCTCTGTTTTCATCTGTCTGTGTCAGAGCGAGGAGGGTGTGTGTGTGTGTGTGTGTGTGTGTGTGTGTGTGTGTGTGCGTGTACCTGTCTGTGTGTGTGTGTGTGTGTGTGTGTGTGTGTGTGTGTGTCTGTCTGTCTGTCTCTGTCTTTTTATGTATATAAGAGTGTGTTCTCTCTGTGCCTTCACCAAGCTGTCTGCTTGCCAATGGAACTGTGTCTCTTTGAAAGAACTTAAGTTAGAAGACGCCTACAGCCTCAGACCAGGAGCCTATAGATCTTCTCTTCCCACAGCGTCCTTCCACTTCCATCCCCTCCAGCAATCCAAGCAGGCGGCATCTTTCTCCCGACTGAGCCAGGCTCAGGCTCATGCTTGCCACTCATGGAATATTTAACGACAGACATGCATGTCAATGTTCACAGGTTTCACACACTGGGTCAGTGTCAGAGAATGATCCGTCAGGCTCAACGGAGATTCGACTGTGGACCTGTGGAAAAAGCACACCATATTTTTTTTAAATGTGCTTGATTTATCATATTCTAATGTCAGGGGGAAAAGGCAAGTGGAGCTTTTGAACTTTTCAACCGCAATTGTTGTCTGGTGTCTGTACAATGAAGAGTCTCAGAAATTTAATTCGCAGTGTCTTTCAAATTAAACTGAAGAAAGGAAATTTGACCACCATGAATTTCTGAAAATGTTCAGTGTTTTGATTGAGTTTAATGAACCCTGGGTTGAAATGTTTCTTCATTTACAGCCCAACAAAAATACAGAATACACATTCATTTTAAGTTATGAAGTGAAACTTTTATTGTTTTCCCATTAACTGCACTGACGTGTCAGTATCTATTTTGTGTAAAGGTCGACACAGGACAAGGCTACATATTTAATGAACTGATTTCTATAAACCAAATGATCTCTCAAATGCTGAAGTTGAGTCATTTCCTACTTTATCGGCTTTGCGGATGTCAAACATGTTTTTATGTGTGTGTGTGTGTGTGTGTGTGTGTGTGTGTGTGTGTGTGTGTGTGTGTGTGTGTGTGTGAGTGTGTGTGTGTGAGAAAAGAGAGAGAGAGAGATGGAATAATGTGTTCAAATTGGACATGACTCATCAGGTATTTCATCAGTGCCACCTCATAAACCTCACAACATTAAAATGCATTTTGTGTGTTTGTATGCGCACGTCTGCATGTGTCTGTGTGGAAGAGCAATTAACACAGTGGGCATTTATGTGAGTATATTCGCTGCCATGTCCTCTTTTCTTAGTGCCACATTTTCTCCTCTTACTTTACAGAGTGGAGGAGAGCTTTAAGACTCTATTCTGGTCGATCTTCGGGCTGTCTGAAGTGATCTCAGTGGTGCTGAAGTATGACCATAAGTTCATAGAGAACATCGGCTACGTGCTGTACGGGGTCTATAATGTCACAATGGTGGTCGTCCTCCTCAACATGCTCATTGCCATGATCAACAGCTCATACCAGGAGATAGAGGTACATAAATAAGATGGTCAGTCGATGCAAAAAGGGTATGATATTGTCAACAAGTCAATAAGGATCATTGTTCAATCACCTTGGTGCCTGCAGGAGGATTAGAGAGTAAGCTGAAAGTACCACAAGCAGTAAAAGATCAATGCAGTGGCAAAATCACAGAATACAAAATAAAAGCAGCAGTCGCACTGGAAAGTTGTCACAAAGAAAACATTAAATAAAAACAAATAGTACTTTCACAAAATAGATTTCTTTTTTTTCAAACATCACTGAAAAATGTGATCTGTCAAAGACAGGAAGATCACTGCTTAGAATAACTGAGAGATAGATGTTCAGTTGTTTCTTTTTCTTCTTCTTTGGTTTTAACGCTACTTAACATAGTTTGTCTCATAACAATCACATCTAATTGTAATTATAGTAATTCCGTATAGAATACTAATCATTTACCTACACTTGCAAGAATTCATTAATTTACCCTATTCCAATGCCTCCCCTTAAAGTAAACCATGGAGTTAAACTGATCATTTCTCCCCCGAGAACTAGAAGTCAGTAAGGAACTACCTTTCTGCAGTCTGAATGTTTTTTATTTACTTGTGACCAATTTAAAATGTGCCTGTCCTTTTGTCCATGCAGGAGGATGCCGACGTGGAGTGGAAGTTTGCCCGGGCCAAGTTGTGGCTCTCCTATTTTGATGAGGGCCGCACCCTGCCCGCCCCCTTCAACCTGGTTCCCAGCCCAAAGTCCTTCTACTACCTGGTCCTCCGCATCAAGTCCTGTCTGATCCGCCTCTGCAAAGCCAACAGCCGTCGCCATAACAACGAGCTGGAGCTGGGCATGCTCAACTCACAGGCAAAGGTCAGTGTCAGTATATGTGACAGGGGACAACTAATGGGTTGACATTATTCTTGACATTGTGAAGTGGTTAATTCATGATTTTCCAAAGTTTTCCAAGTGCTCACATTCAGCTGTTCCTACATTTTCCAGGAACTGTGCCAATAATTACTAGTTAATAACCTGCTAATAATATTATATTATTCTCGGACAATAGGAAAATGGTATTATGAAGTGATGCTTTACACAAATAAAAGTTACAACCAGTAATTTAAAAAAGAGTTTGGTTTTATCTCAAGTTGCTTTTGAGCAATTTTTTCCTTTTTATAAAGAATATTTTGCTGCAATGGCAATTACCAGGAGTGTATTTTCCATCTAGATATTTCTCTTTGGCTGGCTCCTTCCCAGATGATGTTATGTTTTGTTTCCCATGTGGCTTTGTTTAAAATACCGTTGAAACAGCAAAAGGGGCAAAGGACAAGCTCACTAATTGCACCCACAACAATCTACAGTGAAACTGCCTATAGGTATAGGACAGTTTGTCCATGACTGTCAATTTATGGCTCATCAGCATATAATATGTACAGTGTGTTCAGAAGGCCCTGTTGGAAATGCATGATGTTCCTACTGCAAGTCTAGGATGCAACTGGAGCTTTGTTCGTTTTCACACTTTCTCCTTCTCAAGGATTGTCCATCTAAATAAGATCACTGTAATGAAAAGAAAGGCTTGCGTGAAGAAAATAGCATAGGCCATTTAACACAGAATCAATCTTAGCGCTGGCCTTGTCTGCAGGCATTTCCTCTGTCTGATTCCTCGGCTCAAATGGCTCACCTCAGTGCCTCGGCTAAGCTATTAGTCAGACCATCGGATCTGCTTGCATCTGCTCAAATGTCTGGGCAGGTTTCGGATGGGGACAAGATGGGTTTCACCCCACTGCCTTTGTGAGCTCCTAAAGTTCTCTGCAGCTCTGACAGTTTAACTGCACAGCAAAGCAGGTGCAGCAAGCAATCGATACATAAGCTCACGCTTGACCACAGTGCAGCGTCGAGAATGTCAAGTAAGACAGCGTGATCTTTCTGAATCAGTAATTTGTTTCCTCTCTGTCTTTTGGTCCATTTTCTGAAGTGGGACTTCCACTCTAAGAAAATTGATGAGCTGAATTACAGCTAATTATGTTAGTTTCAAAGCAGCATATGTTCAGAGAGATAGTCAAGTCAGCGGTTGGTGAAACATAAGTTCAAATGGCTGGATCTTATATGTTTAAAAGAAACTGCCTCTGGTAATATATTCTTTAATGAGCGTTTGTATGTGGATTTGGTAAGGAAGTAATAAGTTCTCATTCAGTAAGTATGTTTGCTTTCATGCAATGGTTGATGCTCAGGCCCTTTGGTGGATATGTCTTTCATATAGTCACAGTAGTTGGGACAATTAATTTTTTTGCCAAAAGCAAAAAAAAAAGAATATCAGTTAAATGGAGGCATCAGAGGCCAACAAAGCAGGTTATTATAGGGACTAGATCACAGAGTACACAACAAAGAGAATTAAGCTTTGGAAAACCACTGCATAAAACAGTAGTTGCCATCTGGTCTTTTGGTTCAATAAAACAGTGAGTAGATTAAAAACTTAATTCTCCTCTCAGTAGCAAATAATTTGTATTTTCAGTAGGTGTTCTCTGTCTCAAGTCCTAAAACAATTACTGGACATTTTGTTCTTTCAGAGAACACAAGATGAATTGCTGCAAAATTTAAAAAAAAAAAACATAATTCATGAATTTGATTATAAAATCAATCAGAGCACAAATGAATGTTGCCCTGAATGGTCTCTGCTGTAGGTAAATGACAACTATTCCACAATATGGAGTTTCTGTTAGTATATACTGTAGGTTGGTAAAGATGTTGTGTAATGGCTCTATTCTTCAAATAAAGCTTCCCATGTTGTTTATTATTCATTTTTAAACTGTTGAGATACCTGCAGTCCTTTGCAGCTTTAGTAAATATAGAGAAGCAGCTAGTTGTGTGTGTCCACACTTAAGTTAAAACTCATTTTGACACTGCAGTGCCGAAATGACACACAAGCTACAACGCAAGGTCATGGAGGTGGAAGGCATCTAGAAGTCAGGCAATAGAGATTCACTCTGGTCAAGTGATGCTGTCAATTCTCTTTGCCTTCTCTTTGAGGGCATCTGTGAGCCCCAGATACAAACACTAAGCCCTGCATTTCATTGTTTTTTTTTTTTTGGTTTAGCAGTTACCTTCTCTAACACCCTTTTCAAATGTTTCCATTATAGAAAATCACTCAACCCTGAAATGTGACGTTAACGTTGGACTGTTGTCTGTATTCCTCTGTTGCAACAGGATGAGCACTTCAGGGCTTATCCACGCCCAGGAGAAGAGTTCATCCCCAGAAAATCTAGAAAACACCCGACCAGATACCAGGTAAGACAGAGACCAAAGGATGGAAGGAGAACCTCAGAAAATAACGAGAAGGGAAAAGAAAGAATAACATGAAAGGCTGAGGAATATAGAGCAAACTAAAGTAGAGATATGATGAAGGACGACAGGAAGAGAGATGGAGAGCAAATGAGAAGGGTGGAAGAGGTAAAAAGTAACTGATATGAAAAGACATGTAAGGAAGAGTAAGGGAGTCAGAGAGTTTGGATGAAAGGGCATCGGCTGAAAGGAAGGCAGGGTTGAACAAGTGATTGCCTGTGAAAGGGGGAGGGGAGAAATGGCAAAAAGAAAACGAGAGCAACGAAGTAAGGCAGAAAATGCCTTTAATGAGCTGTTTGAGGGAGATCGAAAACAGACACTCTTTAAATGAGCAGAAAATATCACACTGAGGGGGGATGAGATGCCTTTGTCTGCCCTTCACCTCTGCCCTGAGGGAAATCTTACTTCCTTCACTGGTCAACCATGCTTTTGTCTCTGTGTGTTTGTGTGTGAGTGTGTTTTTTTCCCAACATCCAACACTACACAAGATCACTCACACCAAGCATTGAGATGTCACTTGATTAGACATTTGTATGTGTGCTGTATGCATGGTGACAGGTATTGATCCAAATCCAGATCCCCTACATGTTGAGAGTGACTGCCTGAGCCTTAGCGGCCGCTGCATAGCATCCCTTTTGGCTATAGATCAATACTCAACATTTCACACACAGTCTCTGAGACACAGTGCTGTTATCTACCACTGTAAACTATACGTAGTCACATCACCTTGTTACCTTCTATCTAATCTTTTGCTTTCCTCTCCTTGTCATAGAATATCATGAAGCGCCTGATTAAGCGATATGTGCTGAAGGCTCAAGTGGACAGAGAGAGCGATGAAGTCAATGAAGGTAAAAATTCCCTCTTTATTAAGGCCTAGCTGTCACTGTGTCATTATTTGCTCGGGGCATGTGTGCGCCTGAGTGTAGGGACTGTAAATGAGAGACAAGAGGTAGGAGTTTGAGTGTGTGTGTCTGTAAGTGTGAGATAAAGTCCATGAAATGAGGTTGTGCTGTATATACTTACACGTGTCAACTGTGGCACAGTTTCATGGCCTTGTAGATAAGCGCTTACCTGAGCTAATGTTCACGTGCACTGATTGTTGTGTCCGTGTGTGACTGTATCGTAGGCGAGCTGAAGGAGATCAAGCAAGACATTTCCAGCCTCCGTTATGAGCTCCTGGAGGAGAAGTCCCAGGCGGCCGGAGAGCTGGCTCTGCTCATCCAACAACTTGGCGACAAGTTTGGCAAGAACACCATGAGACACTGACAGGACTCGCAAGAAGGAGAGCGAGGGGAGGAGGGAGGAAGATGTGAAAGAGGGTGAAATCAGGAGGAGGTGGGGGCCAGAAAGCAGGGATCAGGGTAGGTATTTTTAAGACCTTGATAGCGGAAGAGGGAAAAAAAAGGGAGGTGTTTGAGAGACAGACAGGGAAGAAAGTGGAATGAAAGCTCCACACAGAGTGAAAATGTGCTACCTTAAGGCAAATGTGTTTTCTTTATGCAATGGCCAATTAGAGGGGAATGTGGAGAGAAGATAGCTGTGACTGCAAGTGAGCAGGAGGTCAGTGGGTCAGAGGTGAAGTTAACTCAGTTGGAGGGGGTTTGTGTCAACAGCTGAATTCTAATCAAAGACAGTATAATCAGGGAGTGAGAGAGGAGAGGAAGACAGAGGAGGCTGGGTGGGAGATAGAGGGAGACGAATGAGGAGAACACAAGCACCATGAGATATGAAGAGGCACCTCAGGGAGACTGAGGCAGTGCAGTGATGAGGGCCCCCACATCCACTGCCAAGAGACATCAGTCTATCGCCCACTTGGAGGAGAGAGAGAGGGAAACCTAAAGAAGGGATGACACAGAGGGTGGGTTGGGGAGTGAAGGGGGGACAAAAAAGCAAGATATCTGAAAACAAAACTGCCACTGTTATTCACACCAGAAACACTGGCTTTGCTTCTATGTCTTCACTTTGTCAGGACAAGCATAGTGACGCCTGCCGAGATACTGTACACCCCTTTTTACACCAGGCTATCTAATTAATGCATTTTCATCCACAATGCACAACTTATGATCAGGAGACAGATGATTCAGGAAAAAGCGGGAAACAAGTCATTAAAGTTCACTCAAAAATATAAAAATATAACATCATCCTCTCATTGTAATGTCAGTCAAATACCTTTGTAGGTCCATATAACACACAGTGTGTTGTATAGACACGTGGGCTGTCTCCAAGAGATCTTATGTTTGTAGAAATTGACTTTGAGTTCCAAAAGGAGTGGCAGTAACATTACTCCAGATGGCAAGTCCTTTTACCTCACTCAGTCTGAGTTATTCAGAATTCCAAATACAATGTACTAGCACAAGCACATGCTGCCAGAAATGTTGCAAGTATAGCTTACTCATTGATAGCAAATACAGAAAGGATATACAAAAACAAATAGGAAAAGTCAAGGTCGAACAACTTCAAGCCAATAGACATGTTAAATATAACCTAGATAGCTGTAGTGGATATTCTCCTTTTCATCGTGCCTTTGCAGCACAAAGTGTCTCCAAGCCACATGTTGTCTAAAATAGTAACTAAAAAACGAGTTGTCTATGAGGAGTTTTGGCTACAGCTGTAAAATACAGGAGGTCAGTGATTATTAGAACCACATGAAGGCAGAAAAACTCCCCTGTCTAATCGCTGCAGGGCAGCCAGACGTTTGTCAGATGAGAAAATGTACGATATAGAAATATGCGATCTGAGACTTTTGGAACAACAGTGCAGTTATTTGGCTATAAAACATTGGGATTCTGCTGAAGAAGCTGTGTGGAGTAATTTTATGGCCTTGTTTTTCTTTTGGAAACTTATTTGACATATTGCTGCACTAGCTCACTGGCTGTGTTAGACTTTAGCAGTTATTCGACTGACACGAGGACGAGGAGAACTGAGGAGATGAACTGTTGCTTTAACTAGAATAAAACGTGATCCTAATAATAATGCAGAGTTTGATAAACTGTTAATTTTCCCCATTAGAAGTGAGATCTTTTTTTATTGTGCTAAATGGAAAAATGTATCTACAACAAACAATATAAAGATGTAGATACAAATAGGGTGCTACAGATTATGTTGACCTGTGGGATTAGCCACTGTATCTGTCCTTCATGTAACAGCAGCCTATTTTTGGATTTTGACAAAAAAAAAAGCCATCATCCATTATTTATATTCTGCCCAACTCACCATCCTGAACACAGTCACAATTCAGCAACTTGAACAAGATTCTCTCAGATTATTATAGTTCCAGTTTGAATGTTTCAGTAATTTCTAAAATCCTCTCACTCAAAACAGCAGCATTCAATGTTCACACAACACGGGTCTGCATGTATTTATTTATCCACAGATTGAATTGGTTCCTACTCTGCTGTGGATTCAGATAATCATAACACATTGTACAATCCCTTCCATCCCTTTCAAAAAACAAAATAATATCAAGCTAAAACACCACAATTCTATTATTCTATTATTGTGTGGATGCTATCAAATGTCATTAGCCATGTGAGTAATATTCAGCAAGGGCCTACTCCACCAATTAACCCATTTATATGACTGCCCTTATACATCAAAACAATTCCGATTGTTCATCTTTATTCATTAGAGTAAAACTTCAACTTGCAAGACTGTGAGTTGAGTTATTTCCATAAGAAAATGTACCTATATTTGAATCCGTACAGGTAGTTTTTAAAATGTTAAAAGCCTAAACTCATTAGTTGGTGTAGTAGGCCCAAGCACACTTCTTAGCACCATTAAAGTTGAGGGGTAATTAACCAGGCTTTAAACATAATTCAAAATATTTTTTTTTTTTTAGAGATACGAAGTTTATAATCTTTAGTGACTGAATTCTATTTCAGATAGGCAAATGTTGTTAGAGTCAAGTTATGGTTTAAATAGTGAGATTTAAACTTGTGTGTTTATTTATTTGTACTGTGTGTGTCAGAGAGTGAGAGAGCAGCTAATTCTTTTCTGTGTGCAGAACCAAGCTTATAATAAAAAGAACACAGTTTTATGATTCCCACCTCCTGAAAGACAAAATTACCTGAAATACTGTATTTTTAACTTGTACGCAAGAAATCTTGATTAAAGCAAAATCTTGTACTGTATATTGTCATATTTTTGATCCTTGAATTAAAGTGAGCAAGCTCTAAACTGTGTGCTTAATCATTGCAGTGCTCTGTATGTTTGTGGAGTTTGATGAAACAACTAAATATTCAGTGTTTTTCCCCATCGGTAGCCCTCAGTCGATGGCAGGCGCTGGAGCAAAACCAAACATGTGGCTACAGTGTTGGTCTGCACTCCGGCAATGATACACACACACACACACACACACACACACACACACACACACACACACACACACACACACACACGTGTACACATCCAGAACAAATGCTCTTTAAACAAACATTTGAGCAGCCAGGATGTACACTGTGCAATAACACACATCTACAGTACACAGAATTTCCTTCACACACAAACATAGAAAAAGGACCTTTATATGTTTGTGTACAAAGAGAATTTAATATTTATTATTTAAATAATACAGTTTTTAAAGCCATTCACACAGATCTCTTTACCAGTATGCAGCTCAGGACATCTTTTATTTAACTTACACTTGAGACATGCTTAAAAAAGTCACATGCAAAAGGTCCCAACAAGGCCTCTGTCAGTGATAATGCAATAACCTGGAAACGTTGACAGCAGGAAGCTTTCAAACAAGATATTTTTTCTTTTACATTAACCAGCGTCCAGAACCTAGTATATGTCAAGTATATTTGTATTGCCCAGTTCACATAAAAAATGTCTCAGTAGGATTTACAACAGTAACTATTCTTAACAATGTGCCACAAAATCTAGAGATCCAGAATACCACCAAATGTTTAAAGAGTTTAAAACCGTAAAGCCCAAAAAGATTCTCAAAAACTACATACAAAACAAAAAGCAAAAAAAAAAGATATACAAACAAAATACAAGTTAATAGACTTGACAACAACTTTAACTGGGTACTTCTAAAGGTAAAGGACCTGACGTCCTACAAAATCTTAAACTGGGCATGGGCATGTAGAATTTTAAGCTGCACTTAAATACCAAACCAACCCAAACATGCCTCCACCACCCTCATAAGGAATTGTACTTCAGGAGCAATTCCTTAAACACAGTCCATTCATGCTACTGTTAAGGTATTAGATGGTTACTACAAACTCAGCATACAGTATGGAGATTGGATTTCCTGCAGATGTGTGTGTATGTGTACAGCTGAGTCATGCACCTGTGTGTGTGTGTGTGTGTGTGTGTGTGCGTGTCAGTTGACCTCGCCAACACACTTGGCGTGTCTGAGACATCCTGAAAGCTGCCCTCTAAAGCAGCACTGTAAACACTCCGTTCCAACATATGGCCAGATGTTTATCAGACCTCAGTTACTCCATACCATTCATTAGCCACTCTCTCTGTATTGTTTCAGAGTGTCACTGAAAGACCATTAAACACAGGCTAACGAACACTGTAAAGCTGTCACTAAAATTTACCTTACATGGTCATCTTTAAGACTATATATGATAGGGGTCGACAAATTTTGCTTGTTTATTTTTGTGAGACTTTTTATTGAGCCTACACTGGTTTATGCAGAAATTGTCAATTCAAGAGCAGAGATATTTTGATTAAAAACTCTTTTCTATTTGTGTTGCCTTTTTAATGTTACACCCACAATAGGTTAGTTCATACATCGAAGGCCCCTCATGACCTCTGCAGGTAGGTAGTTGTTTTGTAGACTTTAATACCAACAGATCATGATATCTTTACACTGTACAAACCTTTGGGCTTTTCATCTCCTTTGTGAATTGTGTTGTTTTTACATTAAGATCGGCCTTCATGAGCACGTCCGGCTTTCTTTGGATGAGCACACACATTAAATATTGCCGTTCAAAAACAAGTTTTGGCTTAAGCTATATTTTTTTTAATAAAATGTTGGCAGGCACAGCTTTATGCGAAAGCTCCACAATCACCGCAATTACAGGCTTGGGTACACTCAGAGGAGCGTCCTCTCCTCATCATGTTGTGGAGTCTGGTTTATAACCTTTGTCACATCCTCACCTTCTGTTTCCTCCACTCTTCCTCTCTCCTCACCATCACATGCTGCTGCACTATATATGCAGGCCGATAAAGTAGAAATGCCAAAACACTGTCTCAAAAGAAAGATAACTTCATTCAACCCAAGAAAACCACAAAACACACACACACACACACACACACACACACACACACACACACACACACGTAACCAACAAGGATCCTTGCTGGTCTACCTCCATAGCAACAAAGTCAGTCCGAGGGAGATGGGTTTTTGGAAGTTCACAGGAAATTCTATTAATCTGATTTCCTTGAGTGCTCTCCCTCTGACTTTTGATATGAGTTTTGGCCTTAAGGGCGTTACTCAATAACATACTCCATCAATGTGTGTGTGTGTGTGTGTGTGTGTGTGTGTGTGTGTGTGTGTGTGTTTGTGTGTGTGTGTGTTTTGTGGTTTGTCTGTGTTTAATCACAAGATAACATTTTACGGAAGTGTATCTATTCATGCTCGGTTGTGTATGGCCTGTGAGCAGACCATGTGCTTGCATAAACCCTTTGTGTGTGTTTTTTTATGTGTGTTTGTGTGTGTGTGTGTGTGTGTGTGTGTGTGTGTGTGTGTGTGTGTGTGTGTGTCAGAGACAACACAATGTGTCTTAGAGCAACACAGTATAACTGACATCCCTTCTCTGGTGTAATTTGTCCCAGAGGCCCAAGGCATGGAAGTGTTTCCAGCCCGCCCTCCCTCTCTCCTCCTCTTCATCCTCCCTCTCTCTCCATCCCTCTCGCCTCCTCCATCTGTTCTCCTCTGTTTCTGTCTCTCCTGGCAGAGCAGTGAGCTATGTGACCTCCTGCCTCTGAAAGACAGGGATTCCAGGGATTTGGAGGAGAGATTAGACTCCCTCTCCAACGTGTCTCCTGCCTACTGCCTGGAAGCCCCCTCAGGAGACGAACTTAGCAGCACGCACACATACAAAAAGAATATGCTTCCTTGCTTGCATAAACACACACATAAATAGCAGCTTACCCTTCCTCGTATATTATTAGAAGCTTGAACGCACACGTAGGTGGGCTCAAATGTCCTCTCTCTGCCAGTAAACCACACACATTACACACCCGCTTAGGCGCAAATAGTCACATATGCATGCACGCTCAAACAGCAGACTCTCTGTCATAAACACTCCCATTTAAACAGTGAATGCTAACTTGCTTTTACACAACAAACACAAGCTTACACTCACACATTAATAGGGACATTAACATAGAAGCAGGCCTAAAATCAAAAGTCACTCTGTGGTTCTGACTCTCGCAGACAAGTTTGTGTCATTCATCATTTTGTCACACACTCACACGGGGGTACAGCTCCCATCCGAGGCATCAATCACCTCCTTGAGCCATCTCAGTCTCTCATCACAGTATGTCATTAGAAGAAAGCCCTCTGGATAGGACAAACCTCTGAAACAAACTAAAGCTGTCATAATCTTACAATCATATCATGACAATACAACCTTTATCACAGGCATAAGAATATTATCTTACTTCAATCCATTTTTACTTCTTTGACATGACAGCCTGTAAAAAAATCACAAATCCATAGTGCTGAGACTTTTTAGTCCCCATCATTGGTGAAACGCCAATATCTAATTTCTGGAGCAGTCAGAGGGCTGATGGAGTAGAGAAGCAAGGGGCTATCAGGGGCCTATCAGAAGAAAAGACTCATCAAGTGTTTACCAATTCTTCAAACCCACACGCACTGGATCAAGATGGATGGAGGGATTGATATGAGAACTCCCTGACAAGCCCTCCAGGTGGCTCAACCGGCCCTCTGGGCTGTGCTGAGAAATGAGACGCAAACACAGTATTGCTGTTTTCTGTCTTGTAACAGATGTCATAGAATAGTTTCTGCCCTGTTTGAAGTCCAGAATTTGAGCAGAAAATTGTATGCATTTGTGAGATTTAGTGGTTTGCAGAGTAATTCATAGAGCCTGATTATTAGGAAGCTTGATGTTTCTTGGTGTACAAGGTAGCTTAATCAAGCATGCAGTCTTCGCCCTGCGTGTTAACCTTATCTAAAGGACAATTAAACCTATTTGAATTCCTTTGTGAATATGCCTGCCTAATTTGGGCCAACTCCAGCCCTGACCATCTGAGGGAATTTCTCTTCATGTACCTCCAGTATGACGTATTTCCTTAGTGGGGTTTAGATAGTTAGGATTTAAATTTAAGTTAAGTTTAAATACCTCTTTTAGTGGACTCTTTCCCACAAAATAAATAAATCAGTAAGTTTTACCATAAAAAATTAAAGACTCAACAAGATAGTTTCAAATGGTCAGAAAACTCTCAACAGACTATTTTAAGTCCAACTGAGAAATATTGATTCTGATGTAATCAATAGAGATGATGAAGCTTGAACCTTGCCACTTAATTGTAATACATATCAAACAATATACCAGATCACATGATAATTTTACACATTAGTGCAACATTTCAAAACGTCACAACACAGCATATATGTGAATATTTCTCATGACAACAACCTCTGAGTTTCAAAGAAAACTTAATGATTCTCCTTCAATCAGAAAACACAGAGGATGCACATTCAGCTAATTTCACCAGGGAAACCAACTGAATAACCACCTTCTGCATCATTACAGCTTTGTGTCATAGCATTTGTCATCCTTATCATCCTTGGCATCAGCTTCAGTTTAGCCGCATTTGGCTCATTGCTACAGTACTGTTCCGCTTCACTTTTGAGTCTTTATTTCAGTATTACTGACAGCAGTGTGCAATGGAAATGGAATGCAATACAGGAATTGCTACAGTGTTTCTTGGACTGCAAACATTCTCTCATTCACTCTCTGTAAGACCCACGTGTGAGTATGAAAGGAGAATGAGTAAGACACAGAGAGGAAGTTATGTTTATAACAAGCCCGCCTGCTTGTCATATACAGCAACATTTCCCCTAAGTGTATTTATGTACCTACAACATAGTTTCCCTTTTATGGGCTAGCCATAGCTGTTACACCACCATTCATCTTCTGACTCACTTTGCCTTTGTTCTGTCCTGTGTTCGGTTCTTTTTTTTTTTTAACTTTCGCCCTCTCTCGCTCACTCACCCTCCGATTTTTTGTTTTTTTTCATCTTTTTAAAATCTGCTGTTTGTTTCTGTCCGTGTCAGCAACTGTTTTCTTCTCTTTGCCTCTGTCCCATTGCCCCCCTTTCTTTTCACATCTCATGTGTCACTATGATTATGTGTTATGTGTTTTGTCTGAATCACAGGTGGCTGTGACCATAGTAACCCTGGATGTTACTGAGTAGTTAATTGTTTCTGTTTTGAGTCTTTTTTTCTCTTTCTCCCCCTTGCCTCTTTTCATCCAGACTCAGCTTAGCAGCAAAACTCAACACAAGCACACATATTCATGGTGGGATGAGATATTATGTCTTACAGGGAACACTGGTTCTGTTATTTCCCACTTGATCTCCTCCTTTCCCTCCCCACTCCCTCTCTTCTAATACAGAATTCCTCCTGCCCTTCCTCTTCATCCATTTCATCATGTTTTGTGTGTCTGGGGCTTCTGCTCTACTGCATGGCTACTGGTCCAGAAACCCTTCCGTCACTCAGACAAGCAATCTTTTACCTGAGGCACTCCCTCCCATCCCTCCCAAAACCTCCCTCACTGATTCTGAACGCAACCTCCCCAGAATTCTGCACATTTGAAATGCAGATGAAGAGAATGTAAAAGAGAAGCTAGCTGAGCCTCGGCATCATTGCTCCTTTCTTGTTGTTTGTTTACTTTCCTCACACTGTGAAGCACTCCGGTGGCCTGTATGGGCAGAGTCTGCTTTGTTTGCTTTAGAGCTAAGAGGCCACTTGACCTGTACTGGGATCTGAGTTTACGCTGTGTACACACAGTAAAGTAAAATGCGTATTTGATCCTATACTACAATAAAATCAAGTACAAATAAAAATACACATAAGCCAAATGTGTCGAGCTTGCAAAAAACATGGCTTTAGGTGTAAGAGGATAATTTTTACTGTAATTTTGCTGTGGACTTTGGAAAAATTATTTATCTTAATTCGTCTGTGCTTTACTTTTGTCTTTTCTTTTCATGCCACTTTCTGCTGCTCCTCTAGGTTTCAGAGGGAAATATTGCACTTTCTACTCAACATTTATTTGATAACTTGAGTAACTGTATATCTGCAGGTTCAAATCTATTTTGGCCTCACAGAATATGATTTGAATGACTGCAATGTGCATATTGCAAATGTGCATAATTTAACATGTAGTGGTAGTTCTGTGTGGTTACATGACAGCTGCTGCACATTTCAAGTATCCATTTGTCATTTACTTTAGGGAAAGTAAATGCCTCTCTTTTTATTCCTTCCTGAGATGAGACTAAGCATTTGGTGTTCTGGCGAGATAATCAAGTGACTAATTGTAGAGCGTCTGATTTCTGCCAATGGGGGCGTTTGATGCGCTGGCAGGGAGAAATCCTATTTTGCTGGCTGATTTTTCCACGGAGGTTAAAGAGGAGATGGTTAGAAGAAAACGAGGACAATTACAGAAAATGAGAGAGGGGAGACATTTGCGTGTCATTTTTTTGTTTGTTTGTTTAAGATTCTTGTTGGAAATCAGTCAGACAGAAAATGGAATTGTATTGACAGAAGAAATAAAGGAGTCCTGACTGCTTGTGTAGCCATTAGTGATCATACTGTCTATGTACACAGTGTGTGTGTTTTGAACTGATGGGGCATGTGTTAGCTTGTGTATTGTATATATGCTCTGTGTGTCTGTGTTTGTTAGTGTGTTCTCTCTCTTTCTCAGTCTGCCAATGTTTATGTAAGTGTGTAGCAGTGTGTGCATAAGGCTGCTTGTGGTTTGCACTTGTCTCCTATGAGTGTGTCTGTGTGTTCGCATACAGGAGCGTGCACATCAATGTTCTCATAATCTGTCTCCTTCTGGCTTTTGTGTGTCTTAGGCTAGAGAGTCTGTCTGGGAGTATCGCTGTTATCAGATGCTATGTGTACATGTGTGTCTTTGCGTGTGCGTCTGCCATCGCAATTAAAAAGGGATGGTTTTATTGTTAAGAAATATTGATCATTAATGATTTTAGAGCTTTGGTAGCATTGTTTTGTTATGAGCCAGTCTGCCAGTAGCAGAAGCAGTGAAAAACAGAGCCATAAAGACAATGTATTTGGATGGCTGGACTCCACTGCACTGTGGGGCTCATGATGAGGAGAGCAACGAAACATTTCTCTTTCATGAAACAAAAATAAACAAAACTCACTAGACTCAAGCAATTTTGTCTCAAAGGAATTAGCAATAACGGTTGAGGAAAGCGCTGCTCTGAGTGCAGATTATCGCCGCTTTTGTTGGTGCTCTTTACTTCACCCTCACTTGACATGGCATAATTTGAGGTGACTGAAACTTAATGATGTAAAACAGTGGCAGAGGGCTTTGAGGGAGGATTTCCAAAATGATGATCCTTTCATTCCTGGAAATAATGGAAAATAAGAGTAATAAAATAACAACCCCTGAGCAAACCCAATTCTCCAGTCAGCTGACAGTGCAGTGGAGTGTTTATCATTGTGTGTTTTATCAGTGTGTGTAAAAGAGAGGGAGAGAGTGATGCATCTGGTGTGTGTAGGCTACACATACATAATCCCTGTTGACTTGCATGGCCTGCTATTTGCTTTGGTTGTGTCTCATCAGCAGGAACATTAAGCTACTTTTAAGCACTTTTCTTTCCCTTCTTTTCATCTTGTAAAACAACATTATTAAACTAAGACAAAAGAATCCAAAAAACGTTCTCGTGTTTATCTCCATTTTGAGCTCACTGAGTTTAATTGATGGGTTGTCTTTTTCTCAGTTTTTAAAGGATTAAGAAACAGAAAGAGATTGAGAAAACAGTGTAGAGAGAAAGAAGGAGGAGGGTAGAAAAAGACAGTCAGAGAAGTGGAGTACAGTGGAGAAATGAAAAAGAGATGAGATGGAATTAGAGAAGCAAAGACAATATGAAAAACAGCCAGAGATGTACAGAATCTATGTTGTTTGTTTGTGCATGTAGGACACAGAGGGAGAGCAGTGAACATTCACATAGTAGAAGAGGGGTCATTGTTCTGTGTAACATAATGCCTGACAGTGTTGGGAAGCGTGAGGGGGGCTTCAATTGGCTGAGACCCTTAATGAAGTCTATATTGGTGGAGAATTACAATACTAATCAAAGTTCCATTGTCATGGGTTTCAGCTAATGAGCAAGGCCTGATAACTCTCAGAATTAGCTACAGAGCAAGGCACCAACCAATAGCCTATGTCATGGTATATCACAACCCTTCTCTCTCTTTCTTTCTTTTCCTTTTAACTCAACCACATCACTTGGTCATAATGTGTGTGTGTGTGTGTGTGTGTGTGTGTGTGTGTGTGTGTGTGTGTGTGTGTGTGTGTGTGTGTGTGTGTGTGTGTGAGATCTGTTAGCAGTGGAGTTTTGCAAATGTAACACTGATCACCGCTTGAAAGCACTCGCACAGATTTTGGCAAAAATGGGTCAGATTTAATTTGTATGTGTATGTGTTTGGGTTTGCCTTTGTGCTTGTCTTTCATGTATGTGTCTGTTAATGTGTGATGGGGACGAGGAGAGGAGCAAGCCCATAGCGAAGCAGGGAACGAGTGCCACATCCAAAAAGCAATAATAAACAGTAATCTCCTTAGCTGTCACAATTATTGCTGTCCCTCCACATATGTAGCTAAACAAGGCTTTAGGCTGTATTTAGATTCCCTGTGAGCATTGCACCAAACTCTGGTCCACTGTAATCCTCTTTATTGTGGAATACAAAGCTGATGTGGGACACCAGGACACTGCTAGGTATTTGTCTGATATTTGTAGATTAGTTTGCCTCAAACTTTTAAACGTCTGTTTGTGTATATGTGGCATCAAACTCATTCTCCAACTTAGGGATGGTTTACAGTATTTTTGCTGCAATATGTGTGTGTGTGTGTGTGTGTGTGTGTGTGTGTGTGTGTGTGTGTGTGTGTGTGTGTGTGTGTGTCCCTCTGTCCTTGCCCTCTAAGTCTACCAGCCATTGTGACAAAACAGGTGCAGATGAATATGAAACAGACCGGCAGAGCTTTTAGGGTCTGGCCCTTTCTATGTATGCTCAGTTCTGAAGCATCATGTAAGAGCAAACTGCTTCCAATCTCCATCTTTAGCAGCTTCTTTTTAGTGTGTAGCGCCAATGTTTCACAGAGAGCAAACACATTTATGTTCCAAACACACAGACCGGGCTGTGTGAGGTGGAAGGGCAGTTTTGTTGCTCTTTAAGTCTTTCCAAAAGGAAATGTACTGATATCCAGCACTTAGTCAGCCACTGAGACTCAGACAATAGACTACCTGCAGACCTTTTCTCAAATTCAATCACCCCTATGAGTTCTTACACACACTCACCAATCTCACACCTTTTCCTGTTCTCTCATCACCCCAGTGTGAGACATTCCCCACACTGGCCCAGAAATGGCTCAGAGTCAACTTTTTCTCATCACTCGAAAATCATATGAGGGATACTGTAAATAGATAGATAGGTAGATAGATAGATTGAGATAGATAGATAGATAGATAGATAGATAGATAGATAGATAGATAGATAGATAGATAGATAGTGACTCTTTCTTTACAGTAACACACATCCCTGTCCGGTGACGTGCCTCCAGCGCCCTCCTTCCCCTCTCTTGATCTGCAATTCTCTCTCTCTCTCTCTCTCACCCCCCCCTTCTCCTTCTCTCCTTCTCTCTTCTTTCCCGCTATCATACACAAGCAACCCAGGATGGGGACGGGAAGCTGTTCACCAACCGGTGTACTGCTGTGTTTTGTCCTTAATCCCTCCTTTAGTCTCATTTAATTCAGAGTGAACAGATAATCCCGTAAAGGCAGTCTGACGGTAGCCTCTCGTATCAACCCTTTACTGGTTAAAAGAACAAGCAAAGCTTCCTCCAGTACGCACGGGCAAAGGCGATCTTGTTGTTCTGCGCACCACGACGCACAAGGAAACATGTGTGCGCACCAGCGATCGCCGTTTAACTTCACCACCTCCGAAAGACCCTAGAGTCATCTTGGATACCGCTACAGTAGCCTGCGATAACGCACCCTGAGCGTAAACCATACGCGCGGCAGGACGACTTGGATTTAAACGCCAACAAGTGGAATTGGTAATGTGATCTTTCACTAGGACCCTGATCTGCGCTGATACGTTCGGTTTGATCAGTTCGGTTTCATGTGACGGAAGCCGCCTCTTTTAATATCCCACTCAGCAACATATGGTCTGTGGGCGCAGGTTTGAAGCTATCGACCCACCGCGTCTCCACAGCGCGTCCTCAGCGGGGCTGGAGCAGACAGAGCCGGAGACGCCGAGGAATGCGGAGCCGCGATTTTGTCTTTTCCAGCTCACCTGCGGGACTCTTCGCAGCGCACACCAAAGTAAGTAATTCCCTTGACAAAAACCCATGTGCTTTGGTTCGTTACACCTGCATTGATTTCTTGGAATCTGTAGTTTGTAGGACTTAACGGTGACTCCAGCCTACTTTATGGTGTTTTCATTATCACTTATGGCATCACTATGACGTGATTTGTACATTCAGTGCAGATTAGCTGTGTCACTGCATGGAGTTTATAATTGACCTTGTCAGACATTAAGGTAACCTGTTTTGGGATCATTAGATTTGTAATATCCCCATCCTTTAAGGCTGTTTTTTGTCACACAGGAATCACTCCTGGTTCTTTTTTGATCATGTTGTTTCACCTGACCGATAGGATCCCCAGGCTGAACAAGAAAGGTCATAAAGGCTTTAACCTTCTTCGTGTCTTTTCATCCTCCAGCCGACAGACTCAACCGGTGAGCCCGCGAGGCGCCATGCTGAGGCAGATCCTCCTCAACTCCACCGACACCCCAGACTTCGATCTGGTGCTCATGGCCCAGTCCTCCACGCATGCCCCCTCCTCCCTGAACGCCTCCCACAGCGGCTCGGTGAGCGTGGCCGCTCTCCTGAGACCCACCACGGGGCGAGGGGGAGGGGGGCTTCGGGAGGGCGAGCTCCACAAACCGGACCTGATCACCTACATAGTCATGTGCCTACTGCTCTTACTCTTGGTGCTGCTCATTGTGTTCTTCATCAACTGTCAGCTCCGGAACTCTTTCTTCGCCTCCATGCCATATGATAGGTCGCTGAGAGAGGCCAGGACCTCCTATAAGTAGCCTAGACCACCAGTACAAATATCTTGGTCTCTAGTGAAACTCCCGTAAGGGTTTAAGGACTGACTTCACCTATGAACTGCTGCTGCACGTACTGGACACAAAGTTGTTGGCTTTATTAGCTGTCTCTGACACGCCGGAAGGTCTAAATATCCCGGAATCCCCCACAAAACCTAACATGATTAGTCAGAGCCTCTATCACGCCAAATGGTGCCCACATTTCTCTCTTCAAGGCCCCCAGCCAGCCCTATTCCAGAGAAATAGCACTTCGGTCCACCGGGAGCCGTTTGAGGAGATGAGTGGTGTGTATGGGGCTACTGCAGGTGGAGAGATAGCAGAATACCCCCCGATCAGATTAGTGACTCATATATTTTCTGGTGATTAGTGAAGGAAATGTGAAACAATCCACCATTCCCTCCAACCCCGCTTGTGGCCCCCCGCACTGCACTCTGGAAACGAATGGTTTATTCATTTACACTGTCCAAAGCTTGTGTTAGTGGTTGCTTAAACATTTTACCCAGAGGTTTGGGTCCTAATTCACAGTAGCTATTCCACGCTGGCCCGGACAAGATGAAGCTGTTTTTTTCCCCCCATGGAGACGTGACTTATGTCAACATAGAAAGAGTCTACAGTAGTTTGTATATAAAATATTTTGTATATCTGTAACTTAACTGTTTTGTCTTGTGAAATAATGCAATCACCATACAATTTCCACCCTATTGTCCGTTGTAAAATGGTGATTAAATGACAGACTGTAGGCCTATATACATATAAAGATATTCAAATGTACTTGGAAGTGGCAGTCTTTTCGTCTATTCGCCTGTTTATGAATGGAGCCGCTGAAGATGATGCTGCAGCTGCTGATGTGAAGGACCAACTGTTAATCATATAATACGTGCGTAGAAGCGCCATAGGGCCGCCAGCCTTATCACGCACTTTCACTTTAATTAACCTTTCCCCCACAATTTATAGCGCCAATATCCCGGAGAATGAAGACTCGAGGCTGAAGTTTATGATGAGACCTGTGCGATAAACCAAACTGTTGTCGGTTTCAGTGCCACCGGTGATGCGCAAATCCTCTCCAATCTTGTTGCTGGAAAACATCTCTTACATACCAGGACAGACAGATGAGGCTATCGCTGTAATCCTGTTTCTGTGTGTGTATGTGAGTGTGTGTGTGTGTGTGTGTGTGTGTGTGTGTGTGTGTGTGTGTGTGTGTGCGCGCGCACACAGGTACGGCTAAGAGGTAAGAGAAACACTGCAGTTTAGGGCCTATTAGACATTATATCTAAAAATGTAATATGAGTCCAATAATTCTGATCCCCGAATATTCATCCAGTGACTCTTGCTTCTTTTGAGATGTAAAATTCCTCTGATGAACTAAACACAGTGATTATTGTTGTCTGTAATCAAACTATCTTGTGGATCTAAGTGGAGCTGAGATGAGACATTGCAAGGGAGGACAGAAGGCCACATCTGCCTCTGAGTGTTGGACTTATAATTACGGAGCAACTAAACCAAAACATGCTGTTTTGGGAAGACATTCGGCTAAGAATTGAGTCAATTTAGTCAGCATAATAGGACGAATGGGCTATATAGCTTCTTGATTTGCTTTAATTGCCTTGTACATTTTAATATATTTTTACCACAACCCCAACCGCCATCCAGTGCAAATTGCATTTGTGAATGGAAAGAAAGCATTTTAGAGAAGCTACATCACAATTGCTTCCTACTGGTACTGTATTAACTGTGGTAACACTGCAGCGCCTACCACCGCTTGGTGGCGCCCAAAGTCTAATTATTTGTTTGCACAGTATGATTACAGTATTACAGTATAAAATGGCAAAGTGCCTAAACCACACATGTTGAAACATCACCTTAACGCAATACAAAAAAAAAAAAAAAAAAAAACACCTGTACAAAACAGAAACCGAAGTGAGGCAGCATAACTTGTATTGTTTCTTCAGTAAGGAAGGGAAGGTTACTCATGATGACATAGACAAAATTTTTTCTTTAGAAATAGTAATCATTGTAACACTTGCATAGTTAACTCACTTAGCTCCAGCAGTCGAATTCCTTTCCAGATATGTGAGATAAGATGAACTGCCTGTAATGATATCTAGGAGTGAAACCTTAGGTGTCTGAGTGGAGGTTCTCTGGTCAATCTTACATCTAAACTTAAAGAGTAAAGGAGAAGAAAATGTGTGTGTGAGAGACAGTAAGGAACGGTGGCAAGGGCTGTATGATAAATTACACTCCAGCAGTCTTTAATTACAGGCAATGCATTCTCTCTTATGGCTGTAGCTTTTATGCTTAATGTGATGAATAAAATAATACTGCCCCTGGAGACCTGCTTTAGTGCTGAGCTGTTAAAGTACCCGGCTATTCCCAGTATGGACTATTGGTTAATCTTCTGTGTATAGGCGTGGGGTGCCACCGTTTGTTAACTGTTAACTTGAGAACTCCACAGTACAGAGAGATGACTACCTACCAGTAGTTGTCTGTAATAATATACAGATACACTGGCCTGTGCTGCCTGCTGCTGGTGGGTTATTCTACTACACCTCTCATTTTACACAAACTGACCGTCTGCGTCTGTTTTAAACTTCTCCTCTTCTTTGTGGAATGAACATTCTAGAATATGACATGGGCGCTATTCCCTGTTACGTCATCCCTTGGATAGTTCTTAACACAAGTCATGAACAGTGATGCCATGGAAACGCTATACAACGGAATTTTGGACAATTTATAAAGTTATTATTCAGACTAGTGAACTAGTACTCATTTTAGGGTTGAACTCTGTGACTCCTCCATAGAGTAGCTGTGGTGATCTCTGGGCCCATAGATCTGTACAGTCATGTCAGAAGTGTCAGTTAAATCCTCTCAGGTGTAGTCACAGAGCGCAGGCTCCTCCCCAACCAGCTCTGAGCGGACTGTCAGAAGAACAGGAAGACTACTCTAGAGCTAAAGACGTAATCGCTTCCCCGCTGTCATTTAGGGGTTAAAACTTAACTAAACTTGTAGCAGTCATGGAAACTAATTTAGGAGACGCGCTCGGGCCAAGTCATCCGTAACACCAACCCGTCGCCCGTGTTGTGGTCGCCGAACAACTCGTGAAAGTGGGAAGAGTTTTTTTTTTTTTTCTTCCTACGGAGACTTTACCCCAACTGTAGCCAAGCAAGCTAGCCCAGCTAAAGCTAACGTTAGCACAGTTAGTTACCTCATACTTTGGAGACTTAAAGTTCACATTGTTAAAGCTTCGGTTTGTGTTACACGTCGAGACTGTTAGAATAAAGTACTCGTTTGTATTTTATAAAAGCAACAGGCTGTTTTCGTACTTTTCGTCCCGAGGACTTGGGGTTGTGCTTTGAATTTCCCTCCTTCAGTGATACATACAGGCGGCTTAGCGAGGGGTTCGTTCGGTATAGTTGGCTTTCTACCAAATCATTAGCAACACTGTGCTAATTGTGGCTAGTTAGCTAGTAGACTAACTTAGGCCCAAGGGAATTAACGTTTGGCTTTTTCGCAAGTTAAGAAACATCGTCGGAGGACACATTTGCTTTGTTTTGGGTTTTTTTTTTACGTTTTAGTGCGGGGATATTACCGCCACAAAGGTTTATTCTGACACACAATACAAGGAAACGGATTAAGTTATAAATATGGATCCCCCCACGGGGAATTCTGCCTCAGCTGCTGGTCCCAAGAAGGACAAGAAATCAAAGAAGAACTATGAGGATGGAGACGGGAAAAAGAAATTTGTGAGTATCCCACAGGTCTAACTTTAACACTTTTATGATGCTTGGGTACTTGGGGTTAAAAGTGTGGCACAAAACTCCACTGATGGTTAACCTACACGTTCTTCCTCTCGTGTTTTAAGTGAAGCTACAAAGCAACAAACTGCCACCATACCTGTAATTACTTTCACCTCCTTAAAGCTGTGCACCAGCTGTCAGTAGAGCTTGAAATGTTACCCAGTAGGATTCATGATTCGGGTCAAAGTCGGTGTCAGCATGAGGAAGTAGCAGTCCCTCCATCTTTGAAGACTTGCAATGTGCAATAGACCTGAAGTTATTCAGTGCTCAGAAATTACAACACATCAACAAATGACTGGTCTTATTTATTTATTTATTTATTTTTTTGTACCATCCATGTGTACAACCACATACTGTACAATAAGTTATGATTGACGTTTTAATTACACAGACTACTATATTTATTTCAAACCCTGTATAAAATGAAAACCTGCTAATTGTCTTGTGTTAGAATAAACTTTCTATGGTAAGGTGTGGCATTGGCATGTCAAATTTTCTCAAGAAGATTGAATCACTATGACATCATGTGGTATCTACCTGGCTGTGTCAGCATGTGGGATTCAGTGTGGTGTCTCCAGGAGAGCAGAGCAGTAGGAGTCATCAGTACCTATGCTTTTCCTCAGCCAGTAAAAACTGTTGTGTAACTTAAACCCTTGGCCATGTCTAGCACCAGGTGAAAACTGATATTGCACACACTGACAAATGGTAACCATAGAGGATGCAGAGAAGGCACATCTGTTCACCGAGTAAACAATTCCTCATGCACACTTACTTTCAGAGAGTTTTCAGGCCCTTTAGTGGTCCCAGTTAGAAGCCACCTTCATTTAAACCACAAGGTGTTTTATATCCTGCTGGCAGGAATGAACACACAATGTTTGTTTCAACACCGTTACATACAGTTTGTTCTGTTTTTTTGTTGTTGTTCATGTAGATGCTACCACCTAGGCATGTAAGCCAGAAGTAGTTGTCGGAGGTTGACAATAAATTTAGTTTGTAATGAATGGCATAATGTTACAGTAGTGTTAATGTGCGTTTTTAGTTTTAGGTAGGGCTAAAAGTAAACATGAGTCACAGACAGAAACCAATTGTGCAATGTCCCGAGATAACATTGCACACATGAGTCTGTGTTTGAGGGTGAGTGCACGTCTATGTGTGCAGCTGAACTGCCCACCTGTGAGTGAGGTATGTCCTTGAATTCAGTACACGACTGACTCTGAAATTTGAATCCATTCTGGTAGATTTTTGTTACAGGACAGTCAGAGTTCAGAAAGAGGTGAAGGGGTGTAGAATTATGTGTGGCATGCTTGAGCTACAGTGTGACATTGTCTCATCTCAAGTATCTTGTCTGTAGCATCAAGTTATCTATGACTTTATTACTCTCCGCTTTTGCCTCTCCATGGACATACCAGTTATAATGACATGATGCAATATGTACGGCTTAACGACACTCGTGTGGTCTCCCTATCATTATTTGGATTCCGACCTAAAATCATCCGTGTTGTCCTAAATGTCTCTCCATTGTCTCGTCTGGGACTGAATACAGCAGTGTGGGTGGGTTATCCAGTTTTAGTCATAGTCTCTCTCTCTCTTCTAGACACAGTCACCGTTCATGATGAATCTGAGACAGAATTGATGATTTTTTAAATACAGTGTGTTGTTGGAATAATGCCAGTGAACTGCCACTTCAACCAGGGTTGGCATTCAGACAAGTACTATGCCTTTTTGCAGCATGGAGACTTAATGACAGATGGGCATTTTGTCCCTTTATAGTCTGCACCGTCACCATTCAGTGCATCAAATGTTGCCTAACCCCAACATCAACTCCTGTCAGACTGTGTCTGTGTCTCAGTTCACACACCGGTTGTTTTTTGGCATGTAACCTGTCGTTATGTTTCATAGGAATTTGAAACATGATTTGCTGTGCTTACAGGTACCTCTGTAGCTTAGGGTGATCCGTCTATTTAGTTTGAAGTCAAATGCAGGTCATTTTAGCTGTGCTCCCTTAAGTGCTATCTGTGTTCTTCAGGCCCAGAGAGACAGAAAGGATCAGCATCCATGAATGCTGTTGACATAAACAGGCTGGCTCAACTCAGCAGGCAGGCGCAGGGTGGATTAGCCAGGGATCACTGCCGTGGACAGTTGTTTGGGATACAAGGTGAATTGTAGATCACAGATTCTGGCTCTGGGACATCTTGTTGAGTTTAGCAGGTTATCCGTTTTTTTTTTAGTAGGAATGTTTGATTCTCTCAAGTAGACTTTTTTTCAGGCCCTGATAAGGAATATTAGTTATTAAGACGACCAATTACCAACATTTGGAATGAGTTGTCTAACTGGAACATGTTCTTTAGGGGCCTCTGGGACATCTTTGCATTACTCTGAGCTTGATTGGTTATTTACTAGTTATTGACATTTTATATTGTCAGTTTTATAATACTGATCACATTAATCATTTTGATAATTTTGAGACAGAGGAGTAGGGATGCACGATCACAAAAAAACGATACCGATAACTTTCAGCTCCTAAAGGCCGATACCGATAACTGATAACACACACACACACACACACATGCATATTTATATGATCATGACCTAAGATCATTACATTAATACTATGAACAAATCCAAGTACTTTTGACTCTTTAAAAGGAGATATTTATTTTTTCCAATGAAAAACTATTGGCAAGCCTCTCCAAAAAATAAATAAATAAAGGCCCCTTGAACTGATGCAAATACATGCATCGGGATTACAAAAAAGTGCATTCCAGAAGTTGTAAAAAATAAATATATATAGAAAATTGACACAAGTTAGATTCAAATATTTCTATGTAAACACAATCTGAAAGTGCATTCCTCAATAACAATAAATAAAATGTGCATAATGTTTAAACAAACAAAAAAGTCCATTCCATAGTAACAAAAAATTAAGTTTAAATGATTTTGGCTTATGGTTCCATTCAAATGAATACCTTTTCACTAAAGTAAATGAGGTTTAGTTGTTGAGAGACTCCGTCGAAGCGATGGCTATGTTTCAGGTGACTTATCAGGTTTGATGTATTGAAGCTCGTGCTACTTTTACCTTCTCGTGGAACTTGCTTGGAACATGTGTTACAAATAACAAGCGACCTGTCTTCTTCACAATCGACGCCATGTTGTCTGTTTTCAAACATAAGCACGCTGTTCTGCATTCACGGTGTGACGAAAATTCCCTGTTCCCACGTTTGGTAGTCGTTCTTCGGCCTTTTTAAATTCATGTTTCTATTGTTTATGTAACATGTTAAAAATTACTGTGGATATCAATTCAAGTCAGCAACTACCAAAATTATGACCGAGTTAATGAGTTATTTTCCGACATGAGGGGGCAGGGCCCTAGAGTGCGACCAATTTGGTCGCATGTGCGACCAAAATTTTTAAGAGTGCGACTGATAATTTTTATAGGTCGCACTGGTGCACCTGACGCTGCCCGGGTGAAAACATAACACAATTTATTTCGCAAGCGCATCGTCTCTCTGTGTTCTCCTGTGACCGAACTCACACACTCATGGTAGGATCATATCGTGTTCTAAACCAATAAGAGACAGAGCTCGGGCGGGTCTTTGCCTCTGATTGGCTGTGGTCCTGTTCGCTGCGCTAAGTTGCGTGTATTTAAAAATTGCGCATGACCTGAGCACGAGAGTAGCTGACTAACTGAAACGGAAAAATAAAATAAACGTGACAAAACGAGGGAAAATGAAGAGACGCAGAAATATTGAAAGTTTTTTCATTAAGAAAACCAAGCCTACAACCAGCCCTACTACTATAATCCCATCCATCCCCACTACTGAGAGTCCATCCCGTCAAGACACAGAGCCCTCTGTCCCTGGTGAGATACCAAGCCCCGGTCCTTCGGCGACAGCATCAGACTCGGAACCAGAGGAGGAGACAACCAAGTCTGGGATAGAGCCCGGCTCCGAGACCCAAATTAAAAAGACCAAAATATATTCCTTCAGACAGGACTGGCTGAAACAATTTCCCTGGCTGAGGGACAACAAAGGACGTAACGCAATGCACTGCGTGTACTGTCAGGAGTGCGGTCAGAATATGGCCGGAAATAGGGCATTTGTGAGTGGGTCAACAATGTATCGAAACTTTTAAAAAAACATGTCTAAGAAACACACGATATGCCGTGACAAGTGTGTAGAGAAAGTGGCCCCTCTCCCAGCGGCATTTCGGAGGCAGGTAGTAGTAATCATCATCATTATTATCATTAATAATTATTGTGCTTGAAACGTTTTAGTTTGAAATGTTCAATTTCAGCTCAGTGAAGCACTGTAAACACTTTATTTTTCTTTTTATATATAATTGTGCTTCAAATAAAGACAAGCATTTCTCTACAATTTGGGTGCACCTAAATTTTGTGCTGGTGCACCTAAAAAAAAAAAAAAAAAAAAAAAAAAGTTAGGCGCACCAGTGCAACCAATGCAAAAAGTTAGTCTGGAGCCCTGGGGGGGTATTCTTGAATTTTCCCAGTCAGAAAGAGTTTTTCTGATTATGCCAACGTCACTTGAACGGAGCATTCAGTGCAGGCCCCTCAGGTCTCATAGTGAGAGCGGGGCACTGCCGTGCTGACAAAATTATATATGTTATCGGGGCTATTCGTCATGATATCGGACTTCTTGGAATGACGTAATAATTCCCTGTTATCGGCCCGATAATTATCGTGCACCCCTACATAGGAGCACTTGCGATCTGAAGCTGTAGGTTTGGCGTCTGGTCTATTTTCTCTGCATGCTGCAAGTGAATCTGGCACTGATCATCTATTACAAATGATGTGACTTATATATGATATAAGTGATCTGGTTCTGGTAAATGATAAGCTATGCATCTTATGCTTTTCAACCCTTTTGATTTTCCTACCTCTCTTCCTGATTTCCCCTGCCTTGATGGATGAAATCCATCTGCCATCCCAC